AAAAAAAAAAAAAAAAAAAAAAAAAAAAAAAACTGTTCTAAGAAGTAAAGGATCTAAAAAAATAATGCATGTGGCACATATACACCATGGAATACTATGCAGCCATAAAAGTGTTGAGTTCATGTCTTTTGCAGGTACATGGATGAAGCTGGAAATCATTATTCTCAGCAAACTGATACAAGAACAGAAAACCAAATACCACATGTTCTCAATCATAAGTGGGGGCTGAACAGTGAGAACACATAGACCCAGGAAGGGGAACATCACACACTGAGGCCTGTTGGGGGGTGGGGGGCTAGGGGAGGGATATCATTAGGAGAAATACCTAATGTAGATGATGGGTTGATAGATGCAGCAAACCACCATGGCACGTGTATACCTATGTAACAAACCTGCATGTTCTGCACATGTATCCAGAACTTATAGTAAAAAAAAAATCAAAATGCATATAAAGGGCTACAATCAGTTATTGGCACATAGGAAACAATAATTTTAACTGTAATTACATTTATTATTATTAATTGGACATTAAAACTAAGGCACGTTGGAAAGGCTTAGCACAAAGTAAGTTTTAAAGATTGCTTGTTAATTAACTGAAGTTTCCTGCAGACTTGACAATGTTTTTTTATGTTTTTTATAGTGCTACTTCTTTGTTTAATACCTGGACTAAATACGCCCCCAGGCTGCCAGCTGACTATTACAATGAAAAGCTTCTGAAGGTTGGAGATAGCCTTTGTCAAATGAAAGTAAGTGCCTCTGGAGGAAAGAGAACCAAAAAGAAATTCATGTGGCTAATTATTATTATTATTACAGTATTTAGTCTGATACCATTCCTATTTTACATGTTTTGATTTTTTCCTTAGAAAAAAATAAATACATAAAAAGTTTAAGGCACAGTAACCAAAAACAGTGTTTGCTTTTTAGTTTTGTAGTTGAGATTTCCCAGAGGTGAGACATTCCTGGACAGACAGGCAGCAGGCTGTGGATGGGCAGGAGGGAGGCCAGGTTAACAGAGGGTGTGGTAGGCGTACAACAGGAAATGCTGAATCATCATGTTCCTACCTTACACAAAGGAGCCCAGATATCACTTCCTGTTGTTTTTCACATGGCTGGCCTTGCCCAGTGGTCACCCTTCAGGGCTTCTGGCCTTGCGGCTCTTTTGCCTGCTTCAGTGCCCTGTTTATTCAAGTCTTTCAACTCTTTCTTAATGTTTTGCTGTATATAATTATAACAGTTGTTCCATACATACCCTGTTTCTTGCTCAGTATTGTATTGCAGACTGAGTTTGTGCCCTACTTTTAGTTCTGTCTGAATGCCTGGGTCTTGGAATGCTGTGGACTCGTGGACTTGGTTTGATGAGACCACAGCATGGCTGGGTTTTCCATTAATGATCATGTGAGTTTCCCCCTTAAGCTCTGGCATAGGTCCAAATTATTCTAAGTTATATGAATGTCAGACAATGGGATTTTAGGCCAGCCGTGGGCAGCGTTTCGTGTTTTCTTAATCTTCAGTTTCTCAACTTCATTTTTTCCCTTTTCTATTTTCTGGACTTTAATCCTTTTGGTCTGGGATACAAATTTACCAAATAGAGGATATGAGTGGTGGAACTTTCATAATGAAGAACTAAGTAAGATCTATTTTCCTCTGCCAAAACTAGAGAATAATCATAGTTCCACATAAATGGACCATGTGGGTCTTAGAAACTTGAGAATACAGGGCTTGGTAAGCTGCAGAAAAGAAACCCAGGTGAGATTCAACTTGTAAGCTTTATTCATGTAAGTGGAATAAGAGTTTCGACAAGAATTAGAAGAGAGTCTCCTCTCCATCCTTATACTTTTCAGTATAAGAAGCTGGTAATACAAATAAAAAGCACCGTTTGGGGTTGTTTGAGAAATCTGTGGGGATGGAGTGGGTATTGGTGGGGGGAGGAGGGAGGTGTATGTTAGAAGCTGATAAAGCAAGTTAAAGAGGGCTAGTAGCTAAGGTTTCAGAATGTTTTAGATAGAAAGGCCTAGATGGGATATTTTAAAATTTAATTAAAGGAACAAAGAAAAAGTTTTATCTACTTTTCATTGAAGGGAATGTTGGCCAGGCTGGGCATGGTGGCTCACGCCTGTAATCCCAGAACTTTGGGAGGCTAAGGAAGGCAGATCACTTGAGCCCAGGAGTTTGAGACCAGCTGGGCAACATGGCGAAACCCTGTCTCTCCTTTTTTTTCTTTTTAAAAGTATTTATAATTCTGAAAATGAACTTGTTACTTTGGTTTCTAGGCTTTATTTTTATTTTAGTTGTAGTAAAGATCATCTTGTGGAATATTTGTTTTAATTTGAATTTATTATATCAATCAAGTTAGAGCAGAAAAGATTCAGGATTAATTAGTGAGCAAAAAACAAATCAGGCCAGGCGCAGTAGCTCACGCCTGTAATTCCAGCACTTTGGGAGTCTGAAGCGGATGGATCATGAGGTCAGGAATTCAAGACCTGCCTGGCCAAGATGGTGAAACCCCGTCTCTATTAAAAATACAAAAATTAACCAGGCATGGTGGCATGTGCCTGTAATCCCAGCTACTCTGGAGGCTAAGGCAGGAGAACTGCTTGAACTGGGACCCGAGAGGCAGAGGTTGCAGTGAGCCAAGATCTTGCCACTGCACTCCAGCCTGGGCTACAGAGCAAGACTCTGTCTCTGACTGTAGATGCCTCCCAAGGGGCTAAGTAGCTGGACAGGTGACATCTTGAAAGCACTGCCCACGTCCCCTGTTCCCTGCCCTGAAACTCTCCAGGTTACTGAGTGGGTTACAGAAATGGGGCATCTGATTCTGTAATGGGAACATAAGCATGTATTTGAATGAATAAAAATCCCACTGCTCAGATGCTTTTTATTTGTCCTGATGCAACTTCAGAGTCTGTTGACAGTTGAAAGACAGGCAGCTAGCTCACCTCACTCTGCATTTTTTTTCTTTTATTTTCTCTTCTTTGGTTCCCTCTTTCTTCTTCTCTTTCTTCCCCTCTCCCTCCCTCTCCCTTTCCTCCCTCTCCCTTCCCTCCCTCCCATCTGTCTGTCTTTTTCTTTTTCTCTCTTTCTTTCTCTTTCTCTCTTTCTTTTTTCTTTCTTTCTCTCGTTTTCTTTCTTTCTCCCTTCCTTTCCTTCCTGTCTTTTTCTCTTCCTTTCTTTTCCTCCTCCCTCCCTTCTTTTCCTTTCCCTTTTCCCTTCCCTTTCCCTTTCCCTCCTTTTCCTTCCCCTTCCTTCCTTCCTTCCTTCCTTTCTTCCTTCCTTCCTTCCTTCCTTCCTTCTCCTTCCTTTGTCTCTCTCTCCCTCCCTTTCTTTTCTTTTTCAAGCCTATGAGGTATCAGAGAAGCAAGACTACTCCTCCACCTCTCTGGGTATGTGAGTTACCATCATCTGGTGATGTTGAATTTTGGAGCCTGGATTTTGAGTATACATAGGTATTACCACACACAGTGTCATAGGAAGTATTCTAATCCTTGTGATCATGAGAGTTTCATCTCACATAGGCTTGTGGTGAGGAGAATTAGATGAAATAATGCACTTACATTGTCTAGTGCAGTATCTATGACTGCTGTGTTTTTGGAAAATGGTGCTGGTAGTAATGGCATAATTGTAATAATCAACATTGATACCATTAAGAATAATATGATTACCTAATAATGATAAACTAAATGAAATTTTGAAATTTTAATCAAGTTCTCTTTTTATTTCAGGAATACAAACTGGCCCTTTTACAATGCTATGGAAGATATCTTCAGCAGTTCAGTACCAATTTTGATGAGAATAAAGTAGATGTAACTCAATTCAAAGCTGCCTTTTTCCCAAAAGGCTTTAGAGATAAAACTGCTGGACTTACAGTAAGATGAAAGAGCAGCTAAAATAGCTATAATTTATGATTAGCTATGCAGTATATCTTTTAGTTGACCACTTCTAAATGTCTTTTGTTGGCTTAGCATAGCATCTAGCCAAGTGTTGTAAGTTGCTTAATAAATACATTCAGTGCTGGATAAGAAAGTGAACTTATTAAGCTTTGTAAGGATGCTTTGGAGACTAAGTCACTGCAGTCACTCATTCATGTAGCAGATAGTTATTGTTATTTAATAACTAATATTTGTAGAGTGCTTTTAGTTTATAAAGTGCTTTGGAAAGTAAATTTGATAAAGTAATTTTATAAGTTACATACTATTATCCCTGTTTTACAGAAGAGAAGAATAAAGCTTATCACATAGTATAAAAAAGTGGCTCTTGAGATTAAACATAAATCTACTGATAAAAAATTTTATACTTTATTTCTAATATGACAGTATTTTGTTAATTATTATTACCATTGATTTACTGGTTGAGCAGTTTCCATGTGCTAAGTACCCTTCTAAATACATTGTATGAATTACCATCTTGCAACCTCATTAAAGGCCTAAGAGGTGCCTCTTTTACAGATTAGGAAATGGAAGATTCTTAGCCCACTTAAAGCAATGAGCAGGGTTGGTGTTTGAATTCTGATCAGTTTGACTCTAAATCTATGTTACTTCAAACTGAGGACTATTCAAAGCCTAGGGAACAGTATGTGGTTAATAAGCAGAAAATCTCAAGGCCTGTTTGGGGGACCATTGAACACTTCAATTTGGCTGTGCCATAGGCACACAAATGAGAATACTGGGCAATGTAGGTTGGCACCCGAGTGGGGGAAAAAGTCTCTCCTACTCCCCTCTTTGTAGCCTTGACCCCCTACCTCCTGCTTTTTGCTTTTCACACTTTGCCAGAATTTTCTTTCTTTCTTTCTTTCTTTTTTTTTTTTTTTTTGAGACAGAGTCTCTCTGTGTCACCCAGACTGGAGTGCAGTGGCGAGATCTTGGCTCACTGCAACCTCTGTCTCCCAGGTTCAAGTGATTCTCTTGCCTCAGCCTACTGAGCAGCTGGGATTACAGGTGCATGCCACCATTCCCAGCTAATTTTTGTATTTTTAGTAGAGATGGGATTTTACCAGGTTGGTCAGGCTGGTTTCAAACTCCTGACCTCAGGATCCACCTGCCTGAGCCTCTTAAAGTGCTGGGATTACAGGCATGAGCCACTGTGCCTGGCCAATTAATTTCTGAAGTAGAAATCTGTCATTTTGTTCCACTACCCATTGACTTTGCCTTTTGGCTAAAGTCCAAATTCCTTGGAATATATGGAGTACTCTCTACTTTTCTGAGCATGAGTCACCCCTATAATGGCCTTACTTTTTTTTTTATTTTGAGACAGTCTTACTCTGTTGCCCAAGCTAGAGTGCAGTGGTGCAATCTTGGCCCATTGCAACCTCTGCTTCCTGGGCTCAAGTGATTCTCCTGCCTCAGCCTCCTGAGTAGCTGGGATTATAGGTGCATACCACCATGCCCAGCTAATTTTTGTATTTTTAGTAGAGATGGGGTTTCTCCATATTGGCCAGACTGGTCTCGAACTCCTGATGTCAAGTGATCTGCCTGCCTTGGCCTCACTTTATTTTAAACCTTCTCATCTAACCTTACAAAAGATTTACAATTCAGTGACCACAGCCGTCGCTTCAGTGCTGCATGAGCCAGGAACTGTTTTTCCCTCCTCCAAGAGCAGGGGCTGTTTATTCCTTATCCTAGAGTCCCTGTTGCCTCGCAGAGTGTGGCTAATAGAGGTGCTCAAGAAACATTTATTGAGCGAATTGTGTAAATGGTTAAATCATGTCTGAATTAATAAATAAGTTAAAATGCCACTGGATGAGCTTACAACAGTTGATTCAATTCTGTATTTTTTTAATAGGATTTTTGTATTTTTTTGTTTTGTTTTTGCTTTTAAATTTCTTTTGACTAAGGAAAACTAGTATTAAGTAAATGGATGTTTTAAAGAAACCTATCATGTTTCTTTGTATACTAATCTATTAAATTAGTTATCCATAATTGTTTCCAGTTTAGTTTTTTACATTTTGAGAAATGCTTTCCTAAATTATTTCTATCTTTTTCTTTCTTTTTTTTTTGAGATGGAGTTTCACTCTTGTCACCCAGGCTGGAGTGCAATGGTGCGATCTTGCCTCACTGCAACCTCCGCCTCCTGGGTTCAAACGATTCTCCTGCCTCAGCCTCTTGAGTAGCTGGGATTACAGGCGTCCACCACTGTGCCCATCTAATTTTTATATTTTTGCTAGAGACAGGGTTTCACCATGTTGCCCAGGCTTGTCTCAAAGTCTTGGCCTCAGGTGATTCGTCCGCCTCAGCCTCCCTAAGTTCTGGGATTCTAGATGTGAGCTACCATGCCCGGCCAGTTATTTCTATTTCTATTTTTCCATGTGTTTCAGTTTCATGCTTTGAGTGGCAAAAATATGTGCAACTACCAGCTGGTCTGCGACAGTGATGAAAACCTGCAGAATAAAGAATCCGTGGTCCAGTGTCTGCATATCTTGTCCTTCTTAAGGCTCATCATGCAGGTGGCTCTGCCACAGGAGCATCTTTGCTGGATTATCTTCAATGGTACTTGCTGATGCGTTTTATTTTCCATTGTGTCTTTCAGAAAGTTACTTCAATGCTAAGTTTGACAGTAGCTTGATTACCTTGTGATTTAAAGCATACGCATTTCATGATAGGATGTTTTTTTTTAACATTTGTTTACAGGTTTGTCCTCATAAACTGGGATGGATAAAGCATGTGGTTTTCATTTCGGAAAGGGTGTGGGAATAATCACTATTGGGTGTCCAAAAAGCAGGGCTGCCTTTAATGAGTATATATAAATAGAGAAGGGTCAAAGAACCAGTGCAGGTTAGATTGGTTCTAAGCATCACCCATTTATGGGCCCGTTCCCCAAACAACTTGGCTTTGGGTTTCTACAAAGTGACCTTCTCCTCCTACTTGTTTTTGAGTGAGGAGCACTGAGGAACACACACACACATGCACTCACACATGCACGCATACACACATACACACACACACACACACACACACACACATATATATATATATACACACATTATTTGTATGTCTAAAGAAATGAATCTTAGCTAAAAAATGTAATACTTGCTTTTCTCTAAAGTTGCAACTTACTGCATTGTTCTCTGGACAATAGATTTTTTTAAAAGGAAAATACTAATGACAGTGTGTTTGATGTGCGTAAGCCAGGATCAAATAACTTCAAGGAACCATATTGGATTTTCCCTCATCCGTGGCAACTGAAATTCTATTTTCTAGGCTTTTCCTTTCTCACCCACTCCCAAGTCATGTTTTGACATTTTGATTGAAATTAGACTTTACATTTGCTGCCAGAGATGAGGCCAGCTTTGATGAGATTTTTCAGTCCAGTGATTATTAAGCTTTTGTATCTGATCCTCCTCCAGAGATTCCATGTTCCCTGTGTCACCCGCTGCCGTCACTTACACATCTGGGTAGGGACAGGGAAGGAGCAGCAGTTCCATGTTAGGCCCAATGGTTGAGCCCTGTGGTCAGGCCTTGTTTGAGTGGTGGAAATGAGCATGATTTCCTGGCTTTACTCCTTTTAAGATCACAACCCCACATAGTCTTTTTTGTTTCTTTTTTGTTTTTGTCTGAGACAGGGTCTCACTCTCTCACCCAGAGTGCAGTGCAGTGGTGTGATCACTGAAGCTTTGAGCCTTGAACTCCTGGCTTCAAGCCATTCTGCATCAGCCTTCCAAAGCACTGGGATTACATTTCTCTCAATAGTCTCTCTCTCTCTTTTTTTTTTTTTTTTTTTTTT